TGACAATATTGCTATAGCTTCTTATATTTTTAATTATTGTTCTTTTCTAAATAGCTACTGTTAATTGAAAGGATTTGTTGTGGCGTGAGGGGAACTAAAACAGCCTAACTATTGTACAGTGTTTATTATAATGTTTGTAAACATTTCGCGTCGGCATTAGGCCTTGGTCGGTTAAACGGTTAAACGTTCAGACGATCTGAATGAGTTATATTGCAGGTTTGAAAAAACACCCCACACCCGCCCTGAACACCTCTCCACACATCCATTCACACCTCCAGCATTATGCTGTGCACTGTATTTAAGAGTTAAAAAAATGTAACGAAGCTACGAGAATACTTTTTGTGCAGAAAAAAAAAAAAAAAAGACTTTATTCAACAGTTCGTCTCCTCCGCGTCACCCTAGCGCCATTTTGGAGAGTATCAGCTGGACGTAAACAGCGTATGCTGTTCTGTGTCAGCTGCGTCATGCCGGATCTGTTTCCTACGTTGTTGTGATTTGATCTGAATGAAAACAGCGTATCCCACAAAAATTATTCTCGTAGCTTCCTATCTTAATTTATTTAATATCTTAATTTGCGTTCCGAAGATGAACGAAGGTCTTACAGGTTTGAAACGACATGAGGGTGAGTAATTAATGACAGAATTTTCATTTTTGGGTGAACTAACCTTTAATAGTGAGTAAGTGTTACCAAGAATCCTTATTCACTCTTCACAGAGTGCACAAATACACACAGAAGCATTAACATTATGTGAATATTCCTGATATTGTCTCATTTATCCAATACAAATATCTAAACATTCTTAAATCAAGATACATTCAAGGTACACTATTTTTTCAGTACTGGTATACTGTGCGATATCTATTATTGTATCTATGATATGTGTCTTATTTTTTTATTATTTTAATAAAAGCAAAACTGAAAAGTAGAGAAAATGGCAATTATCCATTGACAAAGTAACTGGGTAAAAAAATAAAAAAAAAAATAAAATAAAAAAAAATATATATACCTGTATATACACATTTTTTTTGCAGTTGCACTGTATAGTCTGAAAACTGAATTGAAGTGTTACACAGACTATATGAGCATAATGTCATAGTTAAAATACAAGCTCGATTAGTACAAAAGAAAAAACACAGAGAAAAAAAGAAAATCTTCTTCTATAGGCTTCTTATATAAGCATTTAATAAAACACAACAAAATTACTAAAACTTTACGTAAAATTACAGTGAAAACTGAAAATATAAAACAAATCGCAATAAATTCTAAATATGAACAAAAACTTATAGTATACCGATGATACTAAAATAACACAAACAAAAAATAAACTTTTCCTTATTTAATTAACTTATAGTTAATTTTGTATAGCACTTCACATTTTCAAGAAAGTTTCTCTGTCCAATCTACTCCTTACAGACAATCAGGACACACTTCAGGACAAGTTTAAGTACATTGAAACGAGCATGAACTGGACTACTGCTCAAATTTACTGCAGCAAAAACTACGTAGACCTGGCAGTCATTACAGACGACACAGAGAACACATTCCTCGCAACAATACTTTCTGACAAGGGCCACAACGATTCTTGGATCGGCCTGTACAAGATCCCATGGCTGTGGTTGGATAAGAGAAGTGTATCGTGGTCCTCTGTAAAATGGGAGTCTGGACAGCCTGATAACGTGAAGGGAAACGAGAATTGTGCGAGAGCCAATACTGAAGGACTGATGGCTGATGACACCTGCTCGACTCGACTGCCTTTCTACTGCCGCGAAAACAGGAAAATAAAGCGTGTGAGATTCACAGTCAAATCAGACGGACATCTGGATGAATCCGCAGTGATGGAGGCCATAGAGAAGAAGGTGAGATGATTCTGCATGTTATTTTCATATTATTAATATGCTATTATACACTGAACAAAATTGTAAACGTAACACTTTTGTTTTTGCCCCCATTTTTCATGAGCTGAACTCAAAGATCTAAGACTTTTTCTATGTAGACAAAAGGCCTATTTCTCTCAAATATTGTTCACAAATCTGTCTAAATCTGTTAGTGAGCACTTCTCCTTTGCCGAGATAATCCATCCACCTCACAGGTGTGGCATATCAAGATGCTGATTAGACAGCATGATTATTACACAGGTGTGCCTTAGGCTGGCCACAATAAAAAAAAAAAAAAAAAAAAAAGGGTATATTTGCTTCTAATTTCATTTCAATATATGTAGATCTAAGAATGTTTACATTTTAGTTGGGCTGCCCCCTAATAGTCGACTAATCGCTAGTCAACCAGAAAAAAACATTTTATTAGTCACTTAGTTGCAGAAAAAAAAATTCCACAGGTGAAATCACGCAGTCCGTGATGGACAGATCGTTAACTGCGGGTGCATCCACTCATTCAGGTTTTACGGTGAGGAGCCGAGAACGTGTCCCGGTCAACCAGCGATGATTCGATGTTGTGGCATGGCGACATAACATCTCCGTTCCCTCCATCAGGGAACGATGGTTACGTACGTAACCGAGACGTTCCCTATCTGTCGGTCACTACGAGTTATGTTGTGACGAGGTAGGGGGTCCATGGAAAGTGCCACAACCTGAACCCTGTCACAACCCTGTAGCTCTGCAAATATTGACAAGCAGCCGCGTGTCAGACAAATGCTATGCAAAGGTCGTACCCTTCCCAACGCCCCAGCACAAATTCGCTGACCTTGGCGCCGGCAGGGACCAAAAGGTGAGTACATAGCTGCTGGAGACAGCCAAGCTGCTGATCCTATGACAGAAAAAAAAAAATGAAGAAAAGGGATTTTGACCTTCATGAAAGGTGCTTCACGCCTTTCCTGTTCGTTGTTTGGCAGTAACGAAGGGGAAGCGAGCCTTTCGGCAGTACTACATATGGAATGGGTCTCTGAGGCAGGTCCTACCTAGGAGTAGGGAGGAACGGCTGCCAGCAGAGACTGACAGAGTGGTCTGTCAAAGGGAAGACACGGGTTCACCGAGAAGGAAACCTTACCATGGAAGAATACACATATGGGATCGCCCGCAGGGAATCAAGCCATATGTACACCTAGCCCAGTAAAGGGGCTGACCAGAGACCCGGGCAAGCTAACACCGATACTGGGCCTGGTGTCAGACTGCTCTGCCCAGTCCGACTGCCGGGGGGTGCTGGAGGATACTCAACCAGGGTTCGCCGACCAGGGAACTTACTGGAGGAGGAAAAGGCGCTCGCATCCCCGGGTGAAGGGGACTGGCACAGCAAGCGTGACACTGGCCGGCTCTTCCCGCCACTTACCTGTTACCCAACACACGGGAAGAAACCGGCTCAACGCGGAGACTGTAAAATCTTGCGAAGGTGTTCAGTGTCGCCCAGCCCGCAGCTCTACAGATGTCTGCCAGAAAGGTGCCGAGCGCCAGCGCATAGGAGGAGGCAACACTATGTGTGGAGTGAGCCCTCACCCCAAGGGGGCACGGCTTGCCTTGGGATTGGTAGGCCAAGGCGATGGCATCCACTATCCAGTGGGCCAACCTCTTCTTGGGGACAGCCTTCCCTTTCTGCTGACCTTCGTAGCAGACAAAGAGCTGCTCAGAGCTTCTGAAGCTCTGGGTGCGGTCCACGTATATGGACAACGCTTTTATGGGACACAACAATGCCAAGGCTGGATTTGCCTCCTCTGAGGGCAGTGCTTGCAGGTTCACCACCTGATCGCGAAAGGCCGTGGTGGGAACCTTGGGCACATATCCAGGCCGGGGTCTCAGGACAACATGAGAGTAGGCCGGCCTCTCCAATCGTGCATCTTCGGGGGTCTTCTTCGCAAGAAGAACACCAGTTCATGAACAGACACTTCAGAGCATAGGCTTGCCTTGTCAGGGGAGCTCTAGCCTGAGTGATCGTGTTTACCACTGCTGGTGGCAGATCACTTAAGTCTGCTGCGTCCTGTCCAGGAGCCACACATGAAGGTCCCAGAGATCTGGACACGGGTGCCATATGGTGCTGAGCCCCTGAGAAAGTAGGTCCTTCCTCAGAGGGATGCGCCAGGGAGGGGCTGTTGCAAGGATCGTGAGTTCCGAAAACCAGGTCCGGGTGGGCCAGTAAGGCGCAATCAGCAAGACTCGCAAGAAGAACACCAGTTCATGAACAGACACTTCAGAGCATAGGCTTGCCTTGTCAAGGGAGCTCTAGCCTGAGTGATCGTGTTTACCACTGCTGGTGGCAGATCACTTAAGTCTGCTGCGTCCTGTCCAGGAGCCACACATGAAGGTCCCAGAGATCTGGACACGGGTGCCATATGGTGCTGAGCCCCTGAGAAAGTAGGTCCTTCCTCAGAGGGATGCGCCAGGGAGGGGCTGTTGCAAGGATCGTGAGTTCCGAAAACCAGGTCCGGGTGGGCCAGTAAGGCGCAATCAGCAAGACCTGTTTCTCTGACCTTGCACAGTGTCTGTGCGAGAAGTCTTACTGGGGAAAACACATACTTGCTTAGAGCCTGAGGCCAGCTGTGTGCCAGTGCATCCGTGAAGAGGGGGCCTCGGTCAGGGAGTAATACAGCTGGCTGTGAGAGGACTCGTGGGAAGCAAACAGGTCTACCTGGGCTTCCCCAAATCGACTCCAGATCAGCCGGATCGTCATTCTCTGGGGAATGTGAGCTGTTGTGAGAGTGCGTCGACTGCAAGATTGAACTCCCCCAGAATGTAGATGGCGCGCAGCGACTTGAGACTCCAGAGGAGGAGATGACGGACGAGCTGTGACATGCGACGTGATCGTAGACCTCCCTGCCGGTTGGTTGTCCGAGTGGACCAACACGTGCTTGTCTTGTTGCAGTGGCCGGAACTGCCGCAAGGCCAGATGCACTGCCAAAGCAGTCGAGGCCCTGTCCAGAGCTCTGAGGCTGCCTGCCCATAGCATGTAGCACCCCAGCCTGTACTGGAGGCATCCATTGTGACAACGACATTCCGGGACACTTGTTCTAAGGGCACCCCGGCCCAGTCTTACTGGGGAAAACACATACTTGCTTAGAGCCTGAGGCCAGCTGTGTGCCAGTGCATCCGTGAAGAGGGGGCCTCGGTCAGGGAGTAATACAGCTGGCTGTGAGAGGACTCGTGGGAAGCAAACAGGTCTACCTGGGCTTCCCCAAATCGACTCCAGATCAGCCGGATCATCTCGGGATGGAGTCACCGGCTGCACGATTGAGCTCCACCGGAATGTGGACGGCGCACAGCGACTTGAGCCGCGTCTGACTCCAGAGGAGGAGATGATGGGCGAGCTATGAAATGCGATGTGATCGCAGACTACCCTGATGATTGATGTACGAGACAGCCGCAGTGTTGTCTGTGCAGACCAACAGTGCTTGTCTTGCAGCAATGGCCGGAACTACCGCAAAGCCAGATGCACTGCCAACAGCTCTAGGCAGTTGATGTGCCAAAGCAGTCGAGGCCCTTTCCAGAGCCCCGAGGCTGCCTGCACGTTGCATGTAGTGCCCCAACCCGTACTGGATGCATCCATCGTGACAATGACATGCCGGGACACTTGTTCTAAGGGCACCCCGGCCCGAAGAAAGGCAAGGTCTGTCCAGGGGCTGAATAGGCGGTGACACTCCGTTGTGATAGTCACACAAAGTGTACTGTGACGCCATGCCCATCTCAGGACTCGGGAGTGTAACCAGTGCTGAATTGGTCTCATATGAAGCAATCCGAGCAGCATGACTGCGGTTGCAGATGCCATATGCCCCAGGAGCCTGTGTTTCAGAGATACCACGTTCCTGCCTCTGAAGGAACTCAGGCAGTTCAACACTGACTGGACACGCTCGTTGGTGAGACACGCTGTCATACTCACCGAGTCTAACTCCATACCGAGAAAAGAGATCTTCTGCACGGGGGAGAGTTTGCTCTTTTCCCAGTTGACCCAAAGCCCCAACTGGCTGAAGTGCCGGAGCACCAGGTCCCTGTGATCGCACAACTGCTCTCGTGACCAGGCCATGGTGAGCCAGTCGTCGAGGTAGCTGAGGATCCTGATGCCCACTTCCCATAACGGGGCAAGGGCGCCCTCTGCGACCTTCGTAAATACATGGGGGGACAGGGACAGCCCGAAGGGGAGGACCCTGTACTGCCATGCCCGACTCTCAAAAACAAACCGTAGGCCTGTGTCGAGGAAGAATCGAGACATGAAAGTAAGCATTCCTCAGGTCGACTGCTGCAAACCAATCCTGGGGCTGGATGCATCTGATGACCAACATCTTGAATAGGAGCTTGTGAAGGGCCCGAAGTCTCGAGAACGCCGCTGAACCTGGGGGGTTGCCTAGTGAACTGAATCGCGTAGCCGAGTCGAACTGTCCAAATGAGACAGTGGGACGGGACAGGTTGGGCAGCACGAGCCATGCTTCCAAGTAGGGGTGTGCAGCGAAGTCAGTATTTGTATCTGTATCTGTAACAATCACAAAATTATTTGTATCTGTATCTGTATTAGGATTAAACCGGAAGTAGGCGGAGCTTGAACCAGAACTTCGTACAGTTATATTTGATAAGACCGTTATGTTTATGGTTTTACAGCCTATCTTTTTTCGTAGTTATCACTGAACAAATATGCCATGTCTAACTAAAATAATTATTTTTTTTATGATTATAACATTTATTTAAATATCTTCTAACTGTCAGAGCCGATTTCCTTGTATAGGCAGTGCTTCGAGATGTAGTGCAGTTGTGCTTCGAGCGTGAGTTCGAGTCCCAGCTTGGGGACCTTTCGTGATCCGATAAATAAATATTTAAATATCTAAATTAAAACAATAAGGGTTCCTACACAGTTTAGAAATATGGAAATTGATTTAAGTCATTTAACTTAAACATAAGTTAAACATTAACTTAAGTAACTGCAACACTGCTATTTTATTTGCACTTATTTCATTCATGAACTCTGTCTGAATATGGCGCTTATCACATGCTGTGTGGTATCGGCACTTTAACGAGTACGAGTACAGGAGCTCAGTGTCGGGCCCGATACCGATACCAGTATTGGTGCATCCCTACTAAAAATACATTTATCATACAAGTAGGAAGATTCCATGACAAACATTTAGTGATCATTTGAACACGACTGAATGAATTTAAGGCGCACATTTTCATTACGCAGAACACTTTTTTGAACTTCACTAAACAAATGTGCGTGTGCCACGCAAACCAGCAAAAGATAAGGAAGCAAACATGTAGGCCTAGTAGAAAATGTATCTGTATTTAAGTTGATTATTAGCCTACTCTTGACAGAGAGCTGGTTTAGTTTTTGAGAGACAGAAATGCGCAGAGATGGCAACGAGGCTGTTTGATTGGCGATCGCGCTGTGCTTATTCATTCGTGTGTTATATCGTAGCCTATAAGGTTTAAATCATTCATTGCCTTTTATATATACACAAATAGTAGAACGTGTATGATGTATTATTTTAGGTAATATTAGGCCTAATCTTGCCAAGCTCTGATTTCTGAGAGATGCACGGAGTGGCAACAGCAATGCGGTGTTTGATTTGTGCTCTTTTCATTCATAAAGTTTACATTCATTCACTTCACACACTCATTATTGCGTGAATTTAGAGGTTTGTGTAAAATATCGCGCTGATCCCCTGGCTCACCTGTGAAACTAGCAAACACCAGACTGTGCTGCAGCCTCAGCCGAATATTCGGGCAGAATTATTCGTTACGTTATCCATAGCCTAAGGTATTTGGCTTAGGGCACACCCCTACGTCCAAGCTCCGTGCGAGTGGCACCAAAGGGACAATCGACGCACCCATGGTGGTGCAGCGGTGGGAAGTTGTGCTGGATGACACAGAAGGCATCGCGTCCTGGCTCATCAGAGCGACTCATTGCCGGGGGTGCACCCCTGCATCCTCGAGAGCGCCTCCACCCCGTGCTGAGACACCGTCAAGGCTGGTGCGTCGAGCCTCTCTGAGGACTGCGGCACCCTCCGCGTCCCAGCTGGCCCCTAAGTCCTCTAATAAGATGACAAAGCGGCCCTGACACGGGCAACCCGGAGATGTGGGAAGCTGCTTTTTTTCAGGAGATGGCGAAAACAGCACCACTCCTTCCCCCGGAGGAGGGCCGGGCGGAGAATCCTTTGTTCCGTTTTGTTTCTGTTCCAGCCAGTGGTTCCCACATTCTCGAAAAAAGAGCAGTTTCCTTTTCCTCCGGGTTATCAGGCTCGTGGGTTGACAGTGAGCGATGTGCTGCCTCTTCACTCTCGCCCACGACGCCCCCTATTCCCAGCAGCCAAGAAATTGCGGGGACATGGGGACACGGGGAGAGCAGGCTGATGCGCGGTCCCCGCCTCAAAGTGCTGGGCAAACTGCTCGAACTGCTGGGCAAAGTCCTCGACAGTGTCGCCGAATAGGCCAACTTGCGAGATGGGAGCGTCAAAAAAGCGCACTTTGTCGACATCTCTCATCTCAGTGAGGTTAAGCCAAAGATGGCGCTCTTGGGCCACAACCGTGGACATCGCCTTCCTGAGGGACCGCACTGCGTCAACCCTGGGTCGGAACTACCCTCGTGCATTTGATTGAGTGCCTTGGCTTGGTGGACCTGCAGGATTGCCATGGCATGTAGGGCAGAGGCAGCCTGGGCCGCAGCACCGTAAGCTTTGGCTGCGAGAGCGGCCGTCAGCTTACAGGCTTTGGACGGGAGATGCAGACGATTCCTCCAAGTGGGGGCATTTTGCAGGCACAGGTGCACCGCAACCACTCTCTCCACCTGGGGAATGTCTACGTACCCCCTTAGCCACCCCACCATCGAGGGTAGTGAGGTCGGAGGAAGGAGACGAGCGGCTTCTGGTCGAAAAAGGTACCATCCACGACTTCGTGAGCTCCTCATGCACCTCCTGGAAAACCCTCACCGACAGAGAAGCTCTCACTGTGACCCTCAGATCTCCCAGAGCTCTAGCCGGCGGTCCCATACTCGTGACAGGGAAACCGGGACGGGTAGAGACTGAGGGTGTCGCTCCGTTCCCCGTGAGGAGAGAGAGGTGAGATCGCAACAAAGCCATGCTCATACGTCCGCAATGAATGCATGAGTCATCCACTAACGCAGCGAATGCAGAACGTTGGATGCCCAGACACTGAAGGCAACGATCGTGGCTGTCGACAGAGGGCAGGTAACGACCGCAACCAAGAGAACACAGACAGAATGGCATCTTTAAAAAGACGGACACCGCTGTTTGTGCCGTCACGCCAACCAGGAACAGCTTCTTTCTTCCAGTCAGAACAGAAAGGCTTTGTGGAGAAGAAATCATTCACCCACTCGGCTCCGAAGCAAAAATCTGAAGAGTATGCATGGGGAGTGGCTCAGGTATGCAAAATCCACTAGCCAAAATTAATTGGCGTTTTCTCTGAAAGTCAGAGCGGATTGGGGCTCTGAAGTAAATATAACTCGTAGTGACCGACAGATAGGGAACGACTACTAGTCGACCAGAAAAATCCTTAGTCAAGGGCAGCCCTACATTTTAGTTGTACTGAGGAAAAAAAAAAAAAAAGGAAAAAATACTAGGTAATTTGCAGTGTTTATTTTATTTTATTTCATTTTTTTTTTTTAATAGTTTTAGATTACTGACATCTAAACGGCAGTAGATTGATCTCGTTCACTAATGACTGATGTAATCTGGTGTCTAGATGAAGCAGATCCTCTCAGATCAGCACATGAAAATCAGATCCAGCATAACATGGAGCATCCAACCTGACGGGAAGATCTTCCAGCAGCAGAAAACACTCAAAAGAAGAGGTGTTAGATCCAGTGAAACACTAGTCTCTGATACATGCGATAACTTGTCCAAACATTTATGAATCTTTAAGGTACAAGCATTTATAATAACTCATAGATGTTTAACACCATCACATTTTAGTTAATGCATTGGCACTGTTAATGATTTAATGCTTTACACACTGTACAAAAACTTACGAATGAGAATAAGATCATCCTGTATAAAAGTACAGGACAAATGCATTTCAAATGTTGATTTTAGTTAAATGATTTCAGTGAACACAAACATATTTAGTGCTCACACATGCATTGGTTTGAGTCCATAAATGCAGAATTAATAAAAAAAAAAAAAAACAATAGTTTAGTCTTGGGCTCCTCTAAGTAGTTTAGTATTTAGATATTTTGGAACAAGATAATACAAAAATAATGACTTTGAAATCTACAGTGTGTGTGTTGTAATCACACAATCATATTTTCTGCATTATATTTAGCAAACAGTAAACACGGAAGTGTTAGTAAATAATAAAATGATGGAATATAAATGGATTACACATTATTTACAAATAAATCTTTGAAATATGAGACATTCAGCTTACAAAATTCAGCTTACAGCTATTAAGTACAGCAATCTTTCATGAATCTGTGTTTGATATGCTGTGCAATCGATTAGAAGACTGAAATGCACAGCATCGTGCAATTAAACGCTGAGATTTGCAGTTACATTAACAATTCTTATTAATGAAAACCCATCACTGGAAAAAAAATAAAAGTTCCTTAGTATTTTTCTTCACTACAATTATCCAGATACTTTTGTAATACTTTATAAAGAACAATTCTCACTATTAACTAGCATGCATATTACTAGCATATTGGCCATAACCAGAAGTGTACCACTGGCAGCAAAGCCCCCTACCCCAACCCCACATAAATAATCTAATTACTAAGCAACCACTAAATGTAATAACACCAATTATGTATCAATTTAAAGCTTAGAAACTCAGCTTTTTAATGCATGCATTTTGTTTTACTCGTAACGAGCGCTGAGTTGTCCTTCTAAATTGAAATTTATAAGGATGAAAGATTAAATAATATTTTCTGCATTATATTTAGCAAACAGTAAACATGGGGGGTGCCACCTAGTGACGAACAATTAATACTAATTTTTCATGTGTCATATATCATTTGAATGATCTCGGAGTAGAATGCAACAAATTGTCATGTTTTGCTTATAACTTCATAAAACATGTTCAGATGGAATTTGTTCAGTTGGAAATCACAGCATTATTTACAGCAGATTCTCCCCGTGAAAAAGAGCCCAAACTCACCATAATCCGTCACTTAGATCTAAATATATTTTCTCAGCAGTTTCTCAGCATGAGAATTTCCAAATATTAAACAATATTTTCTAAAAATTTAGGAAGTTTTCTATCAAACGATACCTACCGTTTGACTGTCCTAAATGAGTTTGTTTAAAACAAATAAAATATCTGCCATTGGGGTCAGAAAAATCAATTAATTCAAAGGGAAAACAAAAACATATTTCTGAGCCCAATGGGAGATATTTTTATTCTAGTTTTAAAGAAAAATCTCACTCAATTTTGGTAGAAAAACTAGAATGAATATCTTCAGTCATTCTGTTAATTTTACTGAAAAAAAGAGCTAGAAACACTGAGGAAGAAAATCTTTTTTTGCAGTTTAATGTAAATAATATTAAGATCATGTTCTCAAGTTTTACTTTTGACTCAGATTGTTATGCTGATAATATAATCTGCAATAAGAAATTTTGCAATTATTTAGTCATTTATAAAGACATTTATTTTAGAGAGCAACCATATATTTAGTTTGTTTTACTTTCTTTAATATTAATTTATACTTAATTCACATAGGATTTATAATTTAGTCATATAATAATTGTAATAATTTATTTACTCATATCATTGATTCATTCAAGGATTAGTCATTTTAATTATTTTTCCATTGCTGTTTAGTCTTCTGATTGTGTGCTTTCAGTGGATATTTGTCTTCATGAGTAAGAGATCAGAGAATGTCTCGATTTCAAGGATGATGTAGTGAAGCAGTTATTTTCCATTGCTGTGGTTTGTGCTATAATAACACTTGTTGGATTCAGATGAAGTCTGAGCACTGAAACGTGCAACTATGATTATTCAATAAACTCATTTTGCTCATTTTATCACCACTTTGTCTCCTGCTTCTGCTCTTCTCTGGCTTTCTCAGTCAACCTTTTGGCTGACAGAAGACTGTTAAAACTGTTTTGACATCTGAATTACAGTTTTCCATCTGAAACATCTCTCACAGTAACAACTTCTCATTTAAATCAAGTATTATTGAGAAAGTGAAGCCTAAACCGAACCACATCCGGCATGAGAGCCACTAGTTTAGCTACACAACAGATGGGTTTAACTGGTTCATTTAGAGCATTTAGCCTCCATAAAGCTGCTCACTAAATCACACTTGACTTTTAATGCGTTACAATTGTGTGGTTAATGCTGATTCATCTGCATGGTTTACAACAGGCATCCTCAAATAGCAGACCGTGGTCTGGTGCAGAACTTCGACTGCCCTCCGTGTGCACACACATGACATTATTTAATGACATCAGTGAAGCCAAACGAATTTATTGTAGTAATGTTGTCTCTGGTATTCTGGTCTGTGAACGTATATGCGTTTAGGGGTGTGGCTTTGGACAGCGATTGCAGGGAGGGTGGGACGTTCGTTTTCAGTGCTAACAGGCTAAAGTTAGCATTTTCCGAGATCTCCTACTGCACCTTTAAGTTCACGCGTCAGGTAAGTGCCACTAAATTAATGTTGTTGTTTAGATTAAATTTATAGACAAAATCGTACAACATATTCATTGTTTTTGAGTGGATATTGAGAAGTTTTTTGTAAGTTATAGGCCTATGTCCGAAGAAAAGTGGATATTTAAAGGGATAGTTCACCCAACAAAAATTAAAATTCTGTCATTAATTACTCACCCTTATGTCGTTCCAAACCTGTAAGACCTTTGTTTATCTTCAGAGCACAAATGAAGATATTTTTGATGCATTCCAAGAGCTCTCTGACCCTCCCATAGACAGCAAGGATCCCAACACGATCAAGGCTCAGAAACATAGCAAGGATTGTTAAAATAATCTATGTGGCAGTGGTTTAACCATAATTTTTACCAAGCTACGAAAATAATTTTTGTGTGCAAAGAAATCAAAAATAACAACTTTATTCAACAATTCGTCTCCTCCGTGCAGTGCAGCACCTGACTAATGACTGATCTCTGTGTGAACATCCACATTTTTGGAAAGTAACATTTGAAAGATAAAACAAAGAGGAATTAGGGAGAATCAATAAATTATGAATACATATTGCTATTGTGTAAATAATATGTAATCATGTAATCCATAAAAATTAACTGCAGTCTGATTACGAGTATTTTAAAATGTAATTTAATCTAATTACAAGTACTTGATTTTTGGAATCTTATTATGTAATCCAGATTACATACAATCAGTTACTGTTCAGCACTGGTTGTGGCATCTTAAACTGTGATTTTAGAAAAGAGTTTCGGCTAGAACAAGATTGTTTAGTTAATACATCATTTACTACCCAGCTCTGTGAATAACTGACAAAAATATTTCAAAATGGGAAAACTTTGTCCATGTCATTGGTGTTTTTATGTTTATTTATTTTTGTGATGTGCTTTGACCTAAAACATGCATTATTAATTTATTCCCATATGCATCACAGTTCTCTGATGACGGTTTATGGTCACATTGACATGAAGGTAAACAATGAAACATTTGAAATGTAAAAATATAGGTCATAAGTAATCTAAAAGTAGTCCAACAGAATACTTCAGCTAAATGTAATCTAAATTACATTAATGACTACAATTTTCATCATGTCATTTGTAAACAGTAACAGTCTACAGTTTAATCTTCCCAGCTCTGGCCACAACACATCAGACATGGAAAAACACTCACTGTCGTAGCAGAAGAAAGGTCTCATGTCACCGCCTTCTGATCATCCCACAGTCTGTTTTGTCGTAAATGCACTGCACAATCTCCCGATCCATCCGGCTGACCGGATTCCCAGTTTCTGAATGAAGACGTGCTGTTTTCGGACCAGACTAAAGGGTCTTTGAAAAGCCCAATGTATGTGACATTTGCTGCAGGTATCAGTTGCTGGATCTGAAGGTTCTCCACCTGGTTCCTCACGCTGACCAGGTCTGATTGATGCTGTCTGCAGTAAGTCTGAGCGTCTCTCCAGGACTTCGGCTTATTAATGAACATGTATTTGCTGCATTTCTGACCTAGGAGATATAAACATAAGCATGAATTAGCAGCAGTCAGCGCTAAACACCAAGTCATGTGTTTGTGCAGACCGATAACAACCGATAATGACACTGGAACAACACCCAGGTAGCCAGCGCAGTCGGGCCAATTGCGGCTGAGTGTCGGCTGGGTTCTGGCAGCGGCTCACCAAAGTGAGCCAGCTCTGGCCCAGTAATGGTTGCCAGATTTGGCTAGGCTTTGGATGTGCGGATTTGGCCCGATTCACACTGAGACACAGCACGTTTAGCCACATTCAGCCCGATTACGGACCATAGGGCTGCTTCATGCAGACTCGGACCAGTTTAGGTTGAGTGCTGGGGGTGGGGGTGGTAAATAGTATGTAGCAGTGACACTTAAACATACACAACTTAAACATAATATATTTTACCTGCCCATGTTATATTATTTCTAAGTGTATTTTTTATTTTAATTCCTATTAATATTTTTCGCTTTTATCCAACATTCTCTTTTTTCTTTAACTATATTTGGAAATTAATGATTTAATTCATATAATGAAACAAGCTTAAAGTGCTTAAGGGAACTTTAACATTATGTCTTCTACACATATGATATCTAAGTAATGTGTATTTATAATGAAGCTATAATTGTGAGTTCGCTGACATAAGCTGTGTCCCAAAGTTAAGTGCACACACTTCGAAGGGCACGGACTTCGAAGGCCACGCCTCCGAAGTGCATGAAGGACGCTCCGACTTCGCAGGATTTCCTAATTGCGACACCAGAGGTTCCCGATTAGCGCTCTGTTGCATAGCAACGGTGCGAGAGGAGAGCTGATACGCGCATGTCCGGGAAACTCATGAATATTCATGTATGCCCTGCCCACTGAAACCAAAAATCTCAACACCGGTCCGAGTCCTTCAGATGCAGCCTTGGATATAGTTAGCAAAAATGTGTTAATATTCTGACAAAATGTTGATACTTTCATTTTCAAAATAATCGGAGGTGGACTGTAAGGAAGTACATTCGTTAAGTATTTCTCGAACAAATATGAAGTACTAAGATTTTTTTTCTCACAGGACAGCAGCACTACAAAAATATGGTCTTGTACAACATGATGCATTGTTGTAGATTAAACTACCCAACAGTATATTTAGTAGGCAACTTTAAATTTAATAACCATGAACATATTCAGAAGTAAAATGCAACATACACATCAGTGCAGCAGTAATATTAATCCTGACGAATTATTTTTTCAGAATACTGTATACCTTTACTTTTACTCTCAATACCTTAAGTATATTAGAGTATGCAAGATAATACTTTTACTCAAAGGATAGTTCACCGAAAAATGAAAATTCTGTAATAATTTACTCACCCTTAAGTTGTTCCAGGTTTGGAATTTTCATTTTTGGGTGAACTATCCCTTTAGCTAAGGTTTTAAATATGACTAGTAGCTTTTCCCCAATATGGTATTGGTAGTTACTAAAAGTAGTTTACTAAAGTATCTCAATATTTCTTCTACTAATTACTTTGTCATAGCTCTAAAAAAAATTTATCTTTCCCTAAATAAGACCAGACCCCTGTACTGCAGGATAAAGCTGAATGTGCCAGCGCTGGACTGGTTTTTTAGTGGTTTTCAGCTGAGCAGGGAGGCCTTGACAGTGCTGCTGGATCTTCTGAGAAGTGAACGGCAACAGTGATGGGGTGCCACAATCCAGACCCTGGTGTTTCTCTTCTATCTGCCAGTGGTACATCATACAGAGTGGTCTCCAGAGTGTTTGACATGCCTCGTTCCACTGTCACCGCATTGTCCTCCGAGTCGTTGAGAAGGTGCTGGCCATTCACCAAAAGATTCACCTCCTGAAGACCCCAGAACACATGGAGGCAGGGCTGGGCTCAAAACTGATGTTGTTTTTCTGATGTTAAACCTAAGCTATCTTGTAAATAGTTGTAAAAAGTACTTTCAGTAATGTATAGAACAATTTGTTTTAATGTGTAAAAAAAATTATTTACAAGACAAAAAAAAATAAACATATAGAATTTAAATGTGTAAAAAAATATATTTACAGGACAAAAAAATAAATAAAATAAACGTATATAAGATAAAAAATAAGAAAATGAAAACACAATACTTACATTTCAATGTGAATTTCCCCACAGAACTGTTATCCTCCATGTTCTTTGTATATAAATTCCATCGTCATCTGCGCGCAAGTGATTCTGGGATATGGTAGGGTGCGAAGTGTCCATCAGATATACACTTTATTTTCCTGGGAAATGGAGAGTGCATTTGAAGTCGCTTTCGAAAAATATATCAGCCTTCGTCGTGGTGACGCAATCGGCCTTGGAATGCGGTCTTCGGAGGGTGCATCTTGAATTTGGACAGCTTACGTCGTGACGCTGTGACACAATCGCACTTCAAATGCGCACTTTGGAGTCTGTGCACTTCACTTTGGACACAGCTATAGTGCTAGAGTTTAGCTCCAACCATAATCAAGCACACCTGATCCAGCTAATCAAGGTCTTCAGGATTATTAGAAACTTCCAAGCAGGTGTGAGTTGGAGCTGGTTGGAGCTAAACTGTGCAGAGCTGCGGCCCTCCAGGAATTTAATTTGACACCACTGGTCTATAGTATTGCGACTGATCTTTTTTTTTTTTTTCTATCAGTGCAAAGAAATACAAGTACTGGCAGTGCATCAGATGGAGAGATTTAAAAGTTAATCAAAAGATGGCTGCTGCTCACTTTGGACAGAGATGGGGGAAGAAAAGAGCGGGCCTGAATGCAAACAAATTCTTCCAAAAAATGGAAGAGATTGCCTGAATAGCCATATGTGTCATTATCTGTTCCCTTTTTTGTCTCTCTTTCTCTCAATCTGTCCCTCTTTTAGGGTACGCTTACTTGAGGAAGCTCGTGGAGTTTTTTATTTTTTTCTCAAATAAATTCTAATATCACTCATATTTTCATTGTGTCA